GGGGGGATCGGCCACCTCGGCATGCGGGGCGTGGAGCGGGCCTGAGGATGCGACGGCAGCGCATCTCCGTGCGCGGCGGACCCTGGTGGTCAGGGTGACAGGGTGGGGCACCCTGCCGGGCTGGGCGGAAGGCCCCTGCGCTCGCTGCTTTCCATCTGCCGGGATACAAGAGTTGGGGCGGGGGGGGGGGGGGGGGGTCTGGGGTGCGGTTTGGGGCTTGGTCACTCTGGGTTAACGGTGACTTTTCTTGTGGGTGCTTGTTTAGGACGAGGTGTTTGAGGTGCAGAATGGAGACACGGGCTGGGATGGACACAGTTCCTGTATGGGATTTAAAAAAAAAACAACAACACAAAAAAAACACCACAAACCCAAACAAAAACCAAAATCCAGCCCTCAGAGTGGGGCCCACTTCGGGGAAATGGATGGGGACCCCTAAACTGGAAGCCAGGATGCTCCAGCAAGAGGCCCTTCTGGCTGTCCATTGGGGCCTCCACGGGCCCACCCTTTCTTGCCTGCTCAGGAGCCCGGGAGGGACAGTGACCACTGGACAGAGTGACAGAGGCTTTGGAAGGGTGCGCTTTGGTTGCAGAACTGGACTCACCCCAGTATCCCGTCCGCGACGCCCCACCCCCAGGGCTCTGGGCAGGCGCTGATTGGAGAACTGTCCGCGACCCTGAGGACTTGACAAAGGAGGATAGTGCCTGGAGAAGAACCCCTCGCTCCTAGCTTGTGTCCAGTCCCCAGAACCGTCCAGGCTCATGCATGAGCACCACAGACGTCAGGCATCTGCATCGCCTCCACTGGCGGACTTGCTAAAACGCTGGTGCTAAGGCCCACTCTGAGTTCCTGACCCAGTAAGTCTGAGCTCAGCCTGGGGAACCTGCAGCTCTAATTTGTTCAAGTTCCTGGGTGACTCTGAGGCTGCGGTTCCCGCAAACCCTTCTCAATGCTGGCTGACATTAGAATCACCTGGGGAGTGTTTTGGAAACTCTCCAACTCTATACTCAACCAGACCAATTAATTTGGAATCTCGGGCTGGGCCATGGCTCATTTTGAAAGAATTGCTTTCGAAAAGAGTCTCCATATTTACTTAAGTTTATGTAGGGAGTTGCATGACTAACACAAAGGCCACATCTCTGGTAGTTTGAATCCACCAGTGGCTTCGAAGGAGAAAGGTACTTAATTTCCTCCGGTGCGATTTACAGCCTTGTAAACCCAATGGAGGAGCTGTTATGAGTTGGTTGCCAACAGATAGATCACAATGAATTGGAGTTAGTTTCTTTATGTGCTTGTTTATTTCATCTGGTCCGTCCTCCAGATCTCTCCAAAAGATGATTTGCTTCCTAGTCTCACGGAACCATTAAATGTGAACTGGTGAAAGGAGGGGGTGTTTTATTCAAGTTCTCATCACCCTCATGCCTCACCCCAAGTGCCAATGGAGCACCTTTGGTTCCTGTATGAGGTTCACATGGGCATTGATTTCCTACTGGGCAGGGCTAACTGAGTGGCAGCTGGCGGTGCACAGGGCCTGGGGTACAATGTAGGAAAATGAGAGAAGGTGTGGGTGAGAAAGAGTGCTGTTCATCAGCTCCTGATTTCCCCCAGCTCATTTCAATTTGGGAGACTATAGTTTCACTCCCTAATCAGCTTCCCCTGTCACTCAGCAGAGCTCACATTGGGTCTCTGTAAAATCTAGCTGTTTGTGGACTATTGTTGTTGTTAAGTGCCATTGAGTTGGCAACCCTTTGTACAACAGCTCTGAACCCTGCTCTATCCTGAGCCAACCTTATTGTCTCTGACACGCCTACTCTCATTATCCTAGTCACTGAGTCAATCCATCTCATCTGGGATCTTCTTCTCTTGGACTGTCCCTCTACCCTCTCAAGCATGATGACCCTCTCCAAGGACTGATCTCTCTTTCCAACATCTCCAAAGTATGTCAGACGGAGCTTCAGAAACCTTGTCTCCAAGGAGAAGCCTGGTTTCACCCTTTCTAGGTTGAATCTGTTCTACTAGCAGTCCATGGTATATTCAATACTCTTCTCCAGCACCACAGCTCAAAGGCATCAATTCTCCTTCTGTCAACCCTAGTCATTGTCCAGCTTTCTGATACATAGTAAGTAATTGTGAAGACCATGGCCTAGATCAGGCACGTCGTAGTCTCCAGACTGATACCCTTTCTCTTCAGTACTCTGGCGAGGTCTCTGACAGCTGACTTTCCCAATACAATTTGTCTTTTGATTTCCTGATAGTTGGTACCAAAAGTGTTGATTGTAGAGCCAAACAAACTGAAGCTGTTAACAATCTCAATCTCTTCATCATCTACCATGATGCTGCCAATCGGCCCATTGGTGAGAATTTTGTCTTCTTGATGTTGCAGTTCAATCCATATTGAGAGTTGCAGTCCTTGACCTTCTGAAGCAAGTGCTTCAGGTCCTCTTCAGTTTCAGCAAGGAGGGTTGTGTCATCTTCATAACACAAATGGTTGATGAATCTTCCTCCAATCTTGATGCCACATTCCTCTTCATTGAGCCCTACCTCTCATAATCTGTTCTGCATATAGATTGAAATGGTGTAGAGATAGGACATATCCCTGGCGTACACCCTTCCTGATTTTGATGCATGCAGTATTTCCTTGCTATGTTCTGACAAGTACCTCTTGGTCCAAGTATAGATTTCGCATAAGCAGTATCAAGTGTTCTGGGATTCCCATTCTTCTTTGTGGACTAGGAGAAGATAAATTTTAGTTCCTTTTCTGGTGGTAGAGCTAATAGGGAACTGTGTTATTAACCCAAAGGTGGTATCTCTGGCAGTTCAAATCTACCAACTGCTTGATGGGAAAAGATGGGAAATCTCTCAAGCAATTTATAGCCTCAAAAACCTGCCAGAGGGTCAGCTATGAGTCAGTTGTGACTGGACAGGCAATGAGACAGTGGGAGCGGGGGCTGGGGAGGGGGGACAAATTCACTCACAAGCAGTAAAGAATACTTCATTGTTTACTTTTTTAAAAAAGTAGAACATATACAACCCAAAACATAAGTATACTTTTAAATTAGTAATGTCCATTTTTTAAAATGAAATCTTTATAATGTCCTAATAAGCAGACAAGTACTGAACAGTCAATGGACTGCCAAAAGAACAAACAAATACATCTGCAACCATGGTGTTTCTGAGAAGCAAGGATGGTGAAACATCATCTCACAGACTTTGGACATGTTGTTATGAGGGGCCAGTCCTTGGAAAAATACACCATCCTTGGAAAGGCAAAGGTCTGAGAAAAAAAGGAAGACTGTCCACAGATGGGTTGACACAGTGATGTAGCAGTGGGCTCAAGTATATCAGATATGATGAGGATGGGGCAGGTTAGAGCTAGGTTCAGATCTGTTGTTTATAGTTTTGCTGTGAGTTGTAGTTGCCTAAATAGCACCTAACCATAACAATAACAGTAAGCACAGCAGATTGTAAGGATGGCATTGGCGAGGGCTGTGTTTTGCTGTACCCAGGATTGCTGAGTTGGAACAAAATCGACACATTGCAAAACAGGCAACAGTTTGTTAGAGGAGAAAAGGTATATCAATGACAACACGTAATTGCTGTCGAGTTGGAACCCACCCATAACTAATTCTCTCCTCCTGCAGTTTTCAGAGGCTGTAAATCACATGGGAGGAGACTGCCCATATTTCTCCAGAGCGACACTTGCTGGGTTGCTACTGCCTATCTTTGGGTTGATATCATGAACTCCTTACTCATCGTTTTTCTCAGACACTTTAGCCCTTTTAAAAAGAAATACCTAGTTGCCTGGAACAACTGGAAGAAACATTTTTTGTGCAGCCCTCCGTTTTCTCATTCCAGATGAAGACTTCTTAAAGTTCTTTGTTATTTTGAATGAGCCACACCACCACTCTCAGCTCTTCATAAAAAACACAACCAAACCCATCCCAAAGCTGGTGTATAGTAGCCCTGAAGAGCCAAGTAGAACTGTCTCTACTGGACAGAAAAGAGCAGCTCTGTAGAGTTTCCAAGGCTGTATGATTTTATGGAAGCAGATCTGCACACCTCGCTTCTGTGAAATGGCAAACTTCTGACTTCCAGTTAGCAGCAGAGCACTTTAACGACCATGTCACCAGGTCTCCTCCCCAGCTCTTCAGAAGGATGAATGATTCAGGTTGGCTCTTCTCTTCCTCAAAGCACAAGGAGTAAACTTCAACTTTCAGGTGTCTGCAACTTCTGTCCTTTGTATGATGCAGGGAAGCTCCTGTTTCCCACTCCTCCCACCATCGTCAGAATGCAGCAGCTGAGATGTACAGTGTGTAGCATTGTATCACCCATACCTCTTCCGGTGCTTCTGTTGGGAAACAGACAGTCAAGATTTAGGATGGTTTCTGAGTCAGGATGGTTACAGGAGCCCTGGAAAGCGGATGATGAGGTCTAAAATCACATGTCCCTGTTTGCAGAGAAGGATGAGGCTCTCTCAGCTTTCGTAACAACAAACAAGACCTCTCCTGAGATGATGCACCTACCTATTTGAGGAAGGAGAGTCAATGTTGTGTGCTGGAGGGTGCAAGAAGGGGGAGAAGCTCTGCTAACATCCAAAAATAGAGTGGAGGAGGGCTGGATCCCCAAATAAAACCCAAACCCTGATTTCTGAGGAAGGAATATCTGTTTGCAGTGATGATGCCATGTAACAAATAACTCTGACATTCAGTTGTTGACAACAACAAAAGGGTCCATGCTGGGTGTGGCTTGGTGTAGCTCC